AAAAAAATACCAATGCGTCAACACAAGAAGTGATATCAGAACATCAATATACAAAGACAAATATCCCACAATGTCAACACAGATTGACAAAATACAGCACAGCATCGACAAACGAGGCACAACTTTATACAGCTCACATATACGTCAGCACACATAGACGAATCAAAGTCACGTACTGTACACACACAACTAATAAGATATTTAAAGTATTCATCGGTGCAGGCAAAAGCTTTATTGTAATCAATCATGATAGTATATTGACATGATATTCAAAGTTACCGGTTTTTAGACTGACACCTCAACTCAGTGTTTAATTGTTCAAAAATATTGGGATAGACATATAACCTTTCTGGTATAAATAAGGATTAGTGCGGGCCTGCATAACCTAACTGCTTTCCAATGCTGTTTGCAAACACAAATCAAATCTGTTCCCTTGATACGGGCACAAAAGCAAATCCCAAATTCTGCAGGGGGTTCCCACATCAGTCGTCTATTACGATACATGCAATGGGTAACAGCTGGCTCATTCTTTTCTCGGTCCCCTTTTTGCAGGTATGGTTTTACAGAGTGTCTACGCATTGTTTCGACCTTCTATGACCTTACAAAATTCAGAACTGACGATAGTATTTTTTCTTACTTGATCAGTTTGCGTTCACGTTATATATTGGACCATATTTTCTAAAAATATAATGGTTCCCGCTACGAAGATACGGTACCATGTTATGTATATTTGCGTTAGCCAAGTATTGGTGTTAATTTTCAATAAATACATATGTATCTAGAATAACACCATCATAACTTATTAATTACATCATTTGTATTTTGTACCCTGCATTTTTTATAATCAGACAGTATGATAATCAAAATACTTGATAAGCTCTAGTCATTTATATACGCATGAAAAAGTATGTGTGAACAACCTAAATTTACATAATAAAAATTGTCAAGTTATTGACATAACCCGCTTTGCGAAACAAAATTCAGAACTTTTTAAATTCATTATTGGCAGATTTATTTATATGCATAAATGAGGATTGATCTTCCTTGACGGCGTTTACGTTAGAATGAACACAGTTGGCACGGATACATATTTCGCTGCGCGCTAGCCATCAA